AGAAAATTTAATATGAAACAAAATATGCATAAGTAAATAACCCGAGGATTCGATTTAATCCTTTGACTGTCTTTTTGTTTTTTTATGTGGAAAGATAAACACCTCCACTCTTGCTCTTGCTGTGTCATCGAATTGCGTAATAATGTATTTACATCGAAGGTGTTTTCATCAGCAATTTTGTCAAATTTCACATTTCTCTGACTACACTAACACTAACGTTTACATTGCATTCAATAGCTAAAAATGTTTTACTTTGACTTATAAATAAATATACGGCTTTTGTTTACGCAAAAAAACCTATGGCGAAAAATGAAAAAAAATTAAAGTCGTTTAGTGTTTGAGGAACAAGCAACTTCTAGAATTTCATATACATAGTGTATGTATGGCTTTTTTATACAATGATTGCGATCGCTTGTCCGTTATTTATTTACACTTCTATTCAATTATTTGTATGTCGAGCAAACAAGTAAACGACGAAGAAGTTGGATTATTGACTTTAGCACTAAAATGAAGAGATCACCTTACAGCCATCGTTATTTTTTTGCTTCAGTAATTTCACTTGAAATATCCCGAAAGAATAATCGCTTGCTCGAGTTCCGTTGAAATTATGGAAGTGTTCGAAATCACTGAAATCATTCTAAGCACAAAAACACTGTAAGCAAACTTTTAACAACTGTGTAAGCATTTGATAGTTAAATAACTTAATTAGACCCATCAAAAGGAGAGCAACTCCTTGAGAGTAGGTAAGCACATAAGAACGCTTTGATGCCTATCAGTAGTACCTAGGTATAGGAAGAAAAAAAGTTTTCAATAAATTGTGTCTAGTGTGCCCATGATCTCTGTGTAAGAGTGTACCCAGAAATATGTAAAGAAATGAAATAATTCAATAAAGTTGTCGCCTTTAACACAGAATGGTACTACGAGTTTTTCATAAATTTTTATTATTGGCTTAATAATCTTCTTAAACACCATTCTGTCTTTTTACACCGAGTCTTGAGACTTTATTAATGCCACGCTTACCAGTAGATCACTCACCCGTTTGCTCGCTTATTATCATCAAGGTATGAAATTGGCATTGAAGGAGCCTTTGATCAAGTTGGGAACCTTGAATCCTTTTTGCGTTGACTAAGCTTTAACAATTGATAACTCTTAGAGGAACAACTTTACCAAGAATAAAGTACCAAGCATGCAACACATGACATGAGTAGTAGTCTGTCTCCATATGGTGGGAGGCTTACAAGAGAGTCCCATGGCAAATTCCCTAACGGAAAAGGCAGGAATTGTTTAATCCGCTAACAAATTTCTTTTCAAACTGTTCAGGTTCGTTTGAAAACATTTTCAAATATTTCTTAGCATTTATAGCTAGAAAATAAAAAAAGTAAAACCGGAACGCTCCAGTATAAAATCTTCGAGGGAAGAAAATGATGAGTATAGGTCGACGGCAATGGTTAATAGAAAATATAATAAAACTAATATGTGTACCTAACTTCTAGGAAGGGTGTGAAGATAAATTCGAATTTAACTAGTACAGACACCTAACATTTCTGTTAACTTACCTCTGTTAGCGACTTAACAGAGCTCATGTTAAATAATTACAATTGAGATATAGTTGGCTTGAAAGCCTAGTCCGTCCATATTAAAAAAAAGAAAATATTTTTGTGGACATTTCATGAATCGATATAAAACTACCTTTCAAAAAAACTAAACAAATTCAAATTCTGCTTATGGGAACTATTTTTAACGATATTTGAAATATGTCAGCGAAAACTGCATATGAAAAAAACACCCAAATTTGACACTCTAGTGCGGCCAAACTAGAAAATGTCGCCTATATTCACCTATATCACGTGAATCTATATAAAAGTACCTATCGAATGGGCAAAAAAATTCACACTTTGCTTTCAAGAACTATTTTTACCGATTTTTTGCAATTTGGTATGTTACCATAACATTGCTATGGGAAAACATGCAAATTTGACACTCTAGTGCGGCCAAACTAGAAAATGTCGCCTATATTCACCTATATCATGTGAATCTATATAAAAACGCCTGTCCAATGAGCAAAAAAATTCAAACTTTTCTTTCGGGAACTATTTTGAACGATCTTTTGAAATTTGCACTATACTGTAGTACAATAATTTTCAGTACAAAATGCACTATACTGTAGTATAATGATTTCTAGTACAAAATACACTATACTGTAGTACAAAAATTTCTAGTACAAAATGCACTATACTGGAGTACAATAATTTTCAGTACAAAATACACTATACTGTAGTACAATGATTTCTAGTACAAAATGCACTATACTGTAGTACAATAATTTTCAGTACAAAATGCTCTATACTGCAGTACAAAAATTTCTACTACAAAATACCCTATACAGTAGTACAAAAATTTCTAGTACAAAAACACTATACTGTAGTACAATAATTTTCAGTACAAAATGTACTATACTGTAGTGCAATGATTTCTAGTACAAAATACACTATACTGTAGTAAATGTACTATACTGTAGTGCAATGATTTCTAGTACAAAATGTACTATACTGTAGTATAATGATTTCTAGTACAAAATACACTACACTGTAGTACAATAATTTTCGGTACAATATGCCCTATACTGTAGTACAATAATTTTCAGTACAAAATGTACTATACTGTAGTATAATGATTTCTAGTACAAAATACACTATACCGTCGTACAAAAATTTCTAGTACAATATGCACTATGCTGTAGTACAATAATTTTCAGTACAAAAGGCACTATACTGTGGTACAATAATTTTCAGTACAAAATATACTACACTGTAGTACACTGATTTCTAGTACAAAATACACAATACCGTAGCACAAAAATTTCTAGTATAAAGTGCACTATACTGTAGTACAAAAATTTCTAGTACAAAATGCACTATACTGTAGTACAATAATTTTCAGTACAAAATATACTATACTGTACTATACCTAATATAAATTTCCAAGTACGTAAGGAATTTTCGAAACATTATATGATTTATTTTTTTTTTTTGGAAATTGAACTTTTTCCATCAAGTATTCGCCAATCAGAGAATCCTCTATATACTTCTCTCTCTATTATAATTTATTTAGGCCATAGAAATAAATTCTATAACTAAAAAGATTGGACGGGCACTAGCAACCGAGATTATCTAATTTGCACCAGCTGCACTGCTTGCTACAGGGACCTTTAATGTAAATAGTATACATTTAATATATTACTGCTCCGTTACCTTTCTCGCCAATCAAAGAAATTGTGAAAAAAAATCATTTTATTTTGGGCTGCTAATACCTCCCTAAACCTGAATTCCATCGCTTCGACTACGATTTTTATTAGTACCTAGCTCGCTCTAATACATTTGTCGCAGTTCGCTTCAAATACCATCTTGATCTCCCGTTCAAAGGGATTGACTTATTGGCTAAAAATGCTTGCACAATGTTAGCTAATACTCAAAAGCAGACGAGCGTGTGTGGACTTAAAGCATGTATTTCTGATTTGCAAGATATACATTTTTTCTTTTCAGCGCAAACAACCATCGAAACTCAACTAGAACAGAACGACTCAATTGGCACTTTTCGAGCATCGTATGGACAACTATTCATGATAGCCCTTCTACAGCATTTTCGATGCAATTAATAGTTACTTGAAACACAAAAAAGTATTCTCCCAATCTCACTGTCCAACTACATTCCTAATTGCATTAAATAAAATGGGAGCTTTAAACGTGCATTGCTTCCCGATCCCTTGCTCGAAGCCCTATGCATATGCATAGTAGTATCGATCTATGTGTATATTTTCCTGCATGGCAGATTAAAAAAATTCCAAATTTCCTGTGAGGGCATAACAACAAAGCAAAGTTAAATTCCCAAAATCATCTTTTTGCACAGCCATCCGCTGAGCTCGAGTAGAGTTTTAATTTGCTTTCTATTTTATTTCAATGTG